ATCTTAGTTCCCCAACCAGAGATTGAACCCAGACCCTCAGCAGTGAAAGCCCAGAGTTCTAACCACTGGACTGCCAGAGAATTCCCTAAATGAGATTTTTTACATCATTTTTGTTACTGATTCCTAGTGTAATTGCTTTTAATCTCATAACAGTATGAGACTGATTCTTTAATACTCATTGAGTTACATTCTTTGGCCTTCTGCTTTTCAGTTTTTATAAATAACCCACATGTGTTGAGAAGAATATGCATTTACTAAGTGACTGGAGTTGGATTCTCTATTTGTCCATTAGCTCAAGTTTAGTAAATGTTTTATCCAATCGTCTGTCTACATTTTTACTAATGTTTAGTCTATTTAATCTTTCAGATACTGTTTGATATATGTTAAATTCTCCCCCATAATAGCAGATTAGATTTTTCTGATTGAGTTTATGCCATTTTTTTTTTTATAAAGACTTTGTTTTAGAGCAGTTCTAGGTTCACAGCAAAACTGAGACATTTCCCATATAACTCCCTACACATGCACAGCCTTGTCCAGTATCACTATGCCCCACCAGAATGGTACACGATGAATTGAGAACCTAAACTGACACAGCATAATCATCCAAAGTCCACAGTCAACCATAGGGTTCATTCTTGGTGTTGTACATTCTATGGGTTTGAACAAATTCCCTGGAGAAGGAAATGGCAACCTGCTCCAGTATACTTGCTTGGGAAATCCCATGGACAGAGGAGCCTGGCAGGTTACAGTCCATGGGGTCACAAAGAGTTGGGCATGATTTAGCAACTAAATAACAATCAGTGTGTAGTGTTATGCCATTTATCATTTTAGATGTTTTTAGGCTATGTTATTAGCTACCTACAGGTTCAGAATTATTATACCTTCCTAGGGGATTAAATTTTAGTGCATTTTATAATGACGTGCTTTTATCTATAATAATGCTTTTCACCTTAAGGTCCATCTATTCTAATGTTGATAAAGCTATGTTGGTTTTCTTTTCTCTAGTATTGCTTTATGTATCCTTTCCCCACCATTTTGCTTTCAACTTTTCTGTGTTAATCTCTTAATCTCTTGAAAATTGCATGTGATTTGTATGTTGTTTTATGTAATTTTGATAATCTCTATTTATTAACTGATGAGTTTATACAATTTATGTTTATTATGATTACTGATATACTTGGATCTATTTTACTATCTTATTTTATGTTTTCTACGTATCTTCCTTTTTAATCATTTAATTAATTTTTAGCTTCTCTTTTTTCTGTTTTCCTGCCTTCCTTTGGAATGATTTTTTTTAAAATTCCATTCCTTTTTTTTCCTGCTGGTTTGAGGTCATATATTTCATTTCTTTTAGTGGTTATTAGAAAATTTTTACCTGCATAGTTGTTTACGTGCACAGTTGATCATTATGTCCACTCTCTTCCCAAACAACTGTCCTTACCTTACATCTTAATGTTGTCCAATAATGTAGCTCAAGCCACCTTTTTTTGCTCCATACAGTAATATAATTATCATGGTTTAACAATCTTTGTTAGATTTCCCCACATTCTGATTTTGTGTGTGCATGTGGTTGCGCTGGGTCTATTTTTACGAGCAGGCTTAGTTGCACCAGCTAGGGCTTCTCTTCATTGTAGTGCACTGGCTTCCTGTTGTGATGATTTCTCTTGCTGTGGAACACAGGCTCTAGGTGCATGAGCTTCAGTAGTTGCTGCATGCTGGCTCAATAATTATGGTTCACAGGCTTAGTTGCTCTGCTCCATGTGGAATCTTCCCAGGCCAGGAATTGAACCTGTGTCCCCTGCATTGGCAGTCGAATTCCTATCCACTGTACCACCAGGGAAGTCCCATTCTGATTTCTTTGTTCACCCTTTTTCCTTGCATTCCAAATGTTCCTTCTGGGATAATTTTCCTTCTTCCTGAGTTATATCTCTTAGAATTTCCTTTAATAGAGAACTGTTGGTGGTAAATTCTCTAATTTGTTATCTAAAATTTATCAAACATTTTTTGTTTAATCTCATTCTTAAAAGATAATTTTGCTGAGGATAAAAATCTAGAATGGCAATTTCCCCCACCCCCTTCTTTGACACATTGAAATATTATGCTACTGTGTTCTGGCATCACTGTTGCTGTTGTGAAATCAGCTGTCAGTCTAATTATTCTTCCTTTTAGGTGATTTGTCTTTTCTCTTTGAGTACTTTTGAGATCTTCTCTTTTTCTTGGTTTTCTTTTTTTTTTTTTCAGAACAGCAACTCTAGATGTATATTTCTGTTTATTTAATCTGCCTGGGATTGTTGGGCTTCCTGGATGGGAGTGTTAGTGTTTTGCAACATAGTAGAATAATCTCAGCTACTATTTCTTCAAATTCTGTTTTTAATCCAATTGTCTCTATTATCTCCTCCATGCTGCTTTGTTTTATATTTTATATGTCTTTGACTCAATTAACTGTACTCTGGACCATTTATTTAGATCTATTCTCCAGTTCACTAATTCTTACATCATCTGTGTCTAATTTATTTAACTCACTCGTTGCATTTAAAAAAGAATCAATCTTTTCTTTGTATAAGTTACATTTTGAGAGGATAGCTATTTGAATCCCAACTATATGTAAGGAATCTCCTGTTAGTCTCTTCACATTGAATGGGCCCAAGCATTCTTTATCTCTGTTCTCTGCTATTTCATGAAGCATTCAGCTGATAATTCAAGTTCAGTTGACTTGGTTTGGCAGATACCCTAGGCAAAAGTTGACTTCAAGCACAGTTTTCCCACAGGGATTATTCTTTCCACTGTGCCTTTATACTCTGGGTATTTCTTACTTTCTTGCCAACTAAATGCATTTAAAAATATACTTGCTATTTTTATCTAGCTTTGTGGTTACTTTCATTGCAACTTGTTTATTCTCATACTCCCAGACATGGAAGCCTGGATATTTTTCTAGTCCATCCTTTCATTGAGGTGTGTTCCCTGCGGCGGGACCTCTAAAGGTCCCCAAGCAGTATAGAGAGCTCAATTCTGTCCCCCGTGGATGGGTCCAAGATCTATCTTCTCTCCTGGCTACAACAACTAAAGCCCAAGGATCTACGTTGCCAGCCAAAGTTCATGAACATTCTTTTTTTTTTTAAATCTAAATATTTACTTATTTTTGGTTACATTGGGTCTTGGCTACAGCACTAAGGAACTACTATTGTGCTTGGTCTCAGTAGTTGAGGCAGGTGAGCTTAGTTGCTCTGCAGCACGTGGGGTCTTAGTTCCTGGACCAGGGATTAAAACCACATCCTCTGCATTGGAAGATGGATTCTTTACTGGACCACCAGGGGAGTCCCCATGAACAGCCTTAAGGCAGCTGTGCATCTACTTGGCCACACCAACAAACTATGTAGACTTACTGTATCTTTTGGGGCCAACTTATGCATAGAAAAATGGGGACAGTGTCTGTGACTCTCAGCAGCTTCACCTACTTGTGGTCTTCCATGCTCAAGACAGCTCTATTTGTGTAATAGCTACACAAGTATGTACCTGTTGGCCAGATGGTCACCAACTCTAGGAAGATCTCTTAGGAAGATGATATCTTCCTTTGCAGTGGTTTTGAATCTTGTTGGGGTCATGGAACTCCTTGAGAATCTGCTGAAAGCTATCCTCCTTTCTCCAGGAAAATTCAATGCCAGCCAGAGTATAGGGTACTATTTCAGAGGGTTCCTAATTGTCTGCTGTAGACCATCAAGCACCTGTTGATTTGTCTTCCTAGAGATGAATTTGAGGTTTCAGGCCTCAGCTCTGGAGGGCTTCTGCTTCCTCAGAAACACATGATATGCACATGATACTGGGACTAATGAGAAAGCTTCTTGCTCTGTGCTTTGGTTGATCCCCTATTTGACTATTTTTATTTAACCAATTGGTTGTGCTGCCAATGGGCCTACACAATGTAGGCCTAAAAGAATGTTTTTGTGTTTATGTTTCTCCTTTCTACTGAGATCTGGTTTCCCCAACTGCGTTAAGTAAATAGCAGTTCTTGGGATCATTGTTATATTGACCTGATTTGTTGTGTTTTCAAGTCCTACCTGAGCGCTGACCTATTTCAAAGAGTCTGAGTTTCTTTTGATTTGTTCTTCAGTGAGTTTTTAATAAATGCAAACCAACAAGTTGTTTCCCTCCCTATTAAGACTTTTTGTGACTCTCTGCATTTTTAAAAAAAAATATTGATTTAATTGGCTACACCAGGTCTTTGTTGTGGCATGTGGGATCTTTTAGTTTCAGGATGCAAACTCTTAGTTGTGGCTTGATGGGATCTAGTTCCCCACCAGGGATTGAACCCAGGCCCTCTGCATTGGGAGCGTAGAGTCTTAGCCACAGGACTACCAGGGAAGTCCCACTCTTGGCATGTATAGTTTGGCCTTTTTCTTAACCTCTCTGAACTAGTTTCCACCTGTAAAATAATTGGACTGAACTAAATCAGACATGCTTAAACTGCACTTCTCTGAGCACTTCCCCTGCCACCAGTGAATGTTACCTGTGAAATAGAGGTCATTAGCATATCATTTCTGTTTTATTTGGGTATCTTCCTCAAGGTTTTGTGCATTAATACTCTGCAGGGGTATGCAGGCTGGGGTGGGGGATGATTATAGGAGCGGCACTGAGGGCTGGCAGCTGTGACAAAAGTTGCTGTAACAGCTCCTGACAGCTCTCTGACATCACATGTCTGGAGTGACTTGGGCATGCACTTCTCTGGGGGGCTGGCAGGGCAAGAGGAGTGGGGTTCGGGAGAGGCTCCTGTCTGCAGCTCGGCTTCTCCCAACACAGGTCTGCAGTGTGCCCTTTATGTGCTGGATCTGAAATAAGATTTATTGGGGATCGCTGATGTCCTGTGTGGCTCCTCCCTATGTAGGAGTCCTGTCCCCTGGGTGGCAGGTAGAGGCAGAGAGCGAGGCGTTGCTGTCTAATCCATCGATGCCCGCTCTGTGGCAGACCCCTTCCCTCTGCTTCCCTACCCCTGTTCCTACTTCCAGTTACAGGAAGGATGTTACCTGTGATGATGAGAACGTTACTGTTGCTGCTGCTGCCCCTGAGTCAGGCCGCTCCCAAGGACGGCACCATGAGGTAATGGCGTTCAGAGGGAAGGGCCGTGGGCAGGGAGCAGGGGGAGTCTCAGAACATGTGGTGTGGGCCCCTCTGGGAGCTGGGAGAGTGGGCATACACTCCTTGACTTCTGTTTCATCCCCACCACCTCAACCATTGCCTTGTGCTTGTCGGAGTGTCCTCTGCAAAGTGGGCATTGACACCTGTTTTCTGGATTCACTTGGAACTGGGAGCTCGTTTCCAATGAGGTGTGAGGTTGTGCCCTTGGGAAGGGGCTGCAGTCACTTATCAGGAGCTTCTTACAGTGGAAGCTCCAAAGAAATAGAGATCCTTAGCATATCATTTCTGTTTTATTCGAGTATCTTCTTTGAGGTTTTGTGTATTAGTACTATGCAGAGGGTATGCGGGCAGAGGTCAGGGGATGGATACAGAAGGAGCAGCGAGGGCTGGCAGCTGTGACAAAAGTTGCTGTAACAGCTCCTGACATTTCTCTGACATCACACATCTGGAGTGACTTGGGCAAACAGGGATCCCTATCCAGAACTAAGAGTAAATCCTGAGTGTTATAAAAACCCTTGAGCAGATTGAAACTTCAAAACCAAAGTCTATGCCTCAAAGTGGGGGGTGAAAATAGTCCATTTTGTATTATGGAGCACATTGGGTCTATATAAAACTGGGCAGTACCACCGGGCTCAGCTAGAGACCTGTCCCTTAGCAACCAACATCACAGGAAGAGTTGCCACAATCCACATCGTCCTGCTGCCCACTGTGCTGGTTTCCTGGGGCTTCACCTTGTGTCTACTGGATGTGGCCTCCTCTAGCCACCACCTAACCAGATATTTTATTGGGATTTTCACTTAACATCTAAGCTAGGAATCTGCAAAGGCAGAATCTGGGGAGTCAGGTTGTGCTCCTGAGGCTCCCCCCAAGGCTTTTGGGGACCCGGAGAAGCAGCTCCTTTTGGGCCTGGGAGGTGATCTCTATCAGGAGCTTGGGAGTAGAAGGCTATGAGGCTGGGCCCTTGTGGAGGCTCTTTGCAAGGCCAGTCCTTCCCTCCCTCTCCAGGTTGGACCCTGAAGCACAGCATCTGCCTCTGCCCAACCCCTTTGAGCCAGGCCAGGAGCAACTTCGGTGAGTAGGCTGGGGTGAGGCCAGGTCTAGGGCAGCAGACCAGCATCTAGTGGGCTGATTTTCCACTTTTTTGCTAGACTTCTACAGAGCTACCTAAAGGGACTAGAGAGGATGGAAGAGGAGCCAGAGCACATGAGCCGGGAGCAGGGTAAGGGGCTGGGCTGATGGGGCCAGTGGACGGGAGGCTCAGGGCAACCAGAGCTGGGACTGACGTCGGGCCATCCCATGACTCCTGCCTGATCCAGCTGTTCCCTGATGCCTCTTCTGATCCAGCTTTTCTTCCTTAGTTCTCCTCTACCTCTTTGCACTCCATGACTATGACCAGAGTGGACAGCTGGATGGCCTGGAGCTGCTGTCCATGTTGACAGCTGCTCTGGCCCCTGGAGCTTCTGACTCTCCCACCACCAACCCGGTAAGCCCTTCTTCTTCTCCATGAAGAAGAACCAGCTCCTTGGGGCTTTGGGGTTTTTAATTTTATTTATTTTTTGCTTCACTGGGTCTTCATTGCTGCAGACGAGCTTTCTCTAGTTGTGGCAAGTAGGGGCTACTCTCCAGTTGTGGGCTTTGGGTTTCTCATTGCAGTGGCTTCTCTTGTTGCAGAGCACTGCCTAGGGTGCACAGGCTTCAGTAGTTGTGGTGTGTGGGCTTAGTTACCCCCAGGCATGTGGAATCTTCCTGGACCAGGGCTTAACCCATGTCCCCTTCATTGGCAGGGGGATTCTTAACCACTGAGCCACCAGGGATGTCTGCTTTTGTTTTTCTCATCATGACTTCTTTTTTTTTTTTTAGTGAATCCCCTGTAAAAGGAGGGCTCAGAGCCTGCATGGCAGGGATGCAGGGTGTGTGGGGAGGGTCAGGGTTCCTGGGAGCATCTCCAGTCACTACAGACTCTTCCACAGGTGATCCTGGTAGTGGACAAGGTGCTGGAGACTCAGGACCTGAATGGGGATGGGCTTATGACCCCTGCAGAGCTTGTCAACTTCCCTGGAGAGGCTCCGAGGCACACAGAGCCCAAAGAGCCTTCAGAGCTACAAGATGTTGGGATGCAGCCTCTGTTGGCTAACAGCCCATCGAGACAAGAAGCACATGAAGCCCTGAGTCCTGGAGAGGCAGCTGGAGGACAGGCAGAGGCCAGAAGGGAGTTCTTGGAGCCTGTACAGGAGGCTGGGGGACACGCTGATGCTTTCAGAGAAGCCCCAGGCCCTGGAGAGGAGGTTGGGGGACAGGTAGAGACTGGGGATGCTGGAGGGAGAGCAGAAGAACTTCTAGGAGAAACACTGGAGTCTAAGAACACCCCAAATGAGCTTGAGGTTCATGCTATTCAGCTGGAGAATAGTGAGATGTAAACCTTGAGGGTACAGGTTTGCACCACTAGAAGTCTCAGTGCTGGAACATAAGCTCTAAGAGTAGGGTGTGTATATTAGGATGACGACCACCTCTGTGCCCCGTCCTTGGCCCCAGTACATGGTAGGTCTTTCTGTCCAGTTCAGTTCAGTCTATGCAGTTCAGGGAGACCCTAAGTTGAAGGGCAGCTTTAGGGCCCAGATGACCAATAAAGAACTGAGTGAACCCATCCCCCTGGGCCATCGATCCTCTGGCCCAGCGTGCCCTAGCCTCAGACTGCAGGGGTCAGGGACTGAACAGGCCTCTTGGGAGGGCAGGAATTCAGTTTACCCAGTGTTCCCAGAAGAGACACAGAAGAGTTCAGCACTAGGCCACAGCCAGCTGCAGACAACCGGGGAAGGGAGCTCAGCCTCTCCCCAGGGCCCAACCTCTGACGCACCCTCCTATATTCAGGGCAGATCTGCTCCATCACCCTGTATCTGCTCCCCACCCCTGAAAATATTAATAATAACTGCCATTTACAGAGTGCCTAGTGCACACCGGGCATCATGCTGGGCATTTCATAGATTGTGATTTCATCCTCAGCATAATTGTATGACCAGGCAGAATGATCTCTATTTGACAGATGAGGAAATTGGGGAAGACGGAATTCAGTACATACCCAAGGTGAAAGTGAAAGTTGTTCAGTCGTGTCCTATTCTTTGCGACCCCATACGGTCCATGGAATTCTCCAGGCCAGATACTGGAGTGCCTTTCCCTTCTCCAGGGGCTCTTCCCAACCCAGGAATTGAACCGGGGTCTCCTGCATTGCAGGCAGATTCTTTACCAGCTGAGCTATCAGGGAAACCCATACCTAAGGTGACGTAGCTAACTAGTGGCTGATTTGAATTCAGGTCTGACTGACCCTAAAACCCACACCTTTGATCACATTCTATGGCCTCACCCTGCTGCCCAGCGCCCATATGGACACTTGCTGATTCCCACATGCCTTCATCTGGGTCTCTCCCAGGGAAGGCACCGCTGTATCCTGGGTCACATTTGTGGCCGAGGCACCGTCTTGACTTCAAGGCAACTTGCAGGGTGGGGCATGGGGGCAGTTACTGGGGAGATATTTTTGGATTGCAGAGGCTCCACCAAATCACAGAGTAGGCTCCCTGCCTGCTGGCCTCTCAGGTTGGCTCAGCCACGTGGACATGCTTGTGGCCACTGGAGTCTTGTGACAGCACCAGCGCTCAGAGGAGCTTGTCTCATGACTTGTGGTTATTAGGAAGGCTCCCTAGTGTGCAAGGGGTTAAGTCTCCCCTCCCACTGGGAAGGTTCCAAGTCAGTCAGGCCCTCTATCCCTGCCTCCTGGGCACTGACACCCACATTGGTGACTGCTCTTCACCAGGAAGACCTGGGCCTCCAGCAAGGGCACAGCTCATGACAAGCCTGGCTCACTTCCTGCTGCTCTGGTCTCCACGGGCCCTCCTCTGGGCCTGGACAAGAGGTGAATTTGGGGAATAGAGAAAAAGAGGGCAAAGGATTGTTGGATCAAAACCTCTAGAATCCCCAGCCAGAGCAGCTCAGTCATTGAAGACTCACAGACTGCCAGGAGGAAGCTGGCTCTGGGAAGATTTATTTGCTCTGCGACTCTGCCAAGTGAGATGCCAGGTCACAGGTGGAGCCCTCCCGCAGCCCGGATCGGCCCAGGAAGTAGGGCAGCCTGATGCCAGGCTGGCCTCAGAGGAAAAGGCAACAGAAGCTAGTGACGCAAGCCAGGGGCAGGGTGTGAGCCGGTGTCCGCTGCCACAGGGCACTCATACGATGCCATCAAAACCCTGTAGACCACACTTCTTGCCGGCCACCTGGCAGCCGAACCTCAGCGCCTCCTGCATGCTCTTCCCTGGACAGAGGGACGAGTGGCCAGGTCAGCCGGGTCTTCGGGGCAGGGGCAGGCCCCAGCCCTGTGCCTCCTGCTGAGGTACTCACCCTGGGACAGGCTGAAGATGACCGCCGCGTTGAAGGTGTCTCCGGCCCCCAGAGTGTCCACCACGCGGGGCGGTGGGAAAGCATCCGAGTGAAGCAGCCGTCCATCAGGGCCCAGCGCGTCGGCGCCCTCCTCCGCCCAGGCACAGACCAGTGTGGCCCTGCGACACCCTCCTCTCAGCGAGCTGTTAGCCCAGCCCTGGCCCCAGCCTCGTCCCCCTCCCGGGGCAGACCCTGGATGCCAGGCTCCCTCACTCCTCACACCGGCACAGGGCATGGCCTGACTTCTGCGAGCTCACCCCTTCCTCACGCGGCTATACAGGCCCCTCAGGGCCTCCTCTGCTGACCGGAACCCGAAGTGCTTGGCCACATCTTTGCTGACAAACACCTGTGGGCAGTGGAAGAGAGGCTGATGGTCACCAGAGCTCTAGCCCCAGCTGTCCCATACCACCAGCCGCCTGGCACTGATATTATAACGCTGCTCCTCCAACATGGCCGCCTAAGACCTCAGGTAGCGTCCCATTGTACCTCACAAAAGGTTTTCTCACTCGCTCAAGATATGCTGGAAAAGCAGCCATGTAAACTGTGACACAAAAGTCCCAGATCAACGAATCTCCTCATAATTGAAAACCCAGGACGGGTCTTGAGCGCCATCTTGGGGTGCAGTCTACCATGAGTGGGTTAAATCACAGCTCTCAGGAGAGTTTTTGTTTTGTTTGGCTTTCCTCATACAACTGTGCCCTCTGATTTCTTCATCTTTAAAACAAAGGGCTGGGGGGGGGGGTTTCTAGAGCTTTCTTAACACCAGCTACACATTAGAATCACCAAGGAGTTTTATTAAAAAATACTTCAGGCTCCACCTCTATCAACCAAATTGGAAAAAAAAAAAATGAGGGTGGGGTTCAGGCATCCACATTTTTTAACGTGCAGCCAAGAGCCCAACCTGCTTCACTATGGTGCTAGGATTACCACCTAGATTCCATTTATGTTCCATGTTTACATGGGCAAGTCCCCTTCCCATCCTCCCTCACCCCCTAGTGGCTCCTAACCCATAGCTGGAGGGCACCTTGGAGAATGGTGCCATCCTGTCATTTGATAAGAGGAAAAGTCAGGAGGCCCACTGAGGAGAGGCTGGCCCTGTGGCTGGTTGTCCTGGCCTTGTCCAATCCCTCTGGACATACCCATGAGCGCCCTGGGGTGGAGAAATTCTACTGCTTGCTTACTGTTGAGGTCTGTGCAAGAGCCCAAAGCAGGGAGTCTGTCTCTGTGCTTTGCCCCCACCTGCCAACATCACCATGTGTGAAAGGCAGGACAAGGGAATACTCAGACTCCATTTAAGAACCAAATTAAGCTGGATGTGGCTGGGAGCTGGGGGGAGTGTGTGGGATGGGGGGGTGGGTGCTGCAGGGGACACTTACCACATCTCCATAACCAAACAGCTGGTACAGCTCCTCACGCGGCTTCTCCACCTCCACGGACACCTGGATCTTGCCCTCTGGAGGCTGCCTGGCATTGTGCTGTTCTATCCGCTGCAGCATCTTCACTTGCTCTGATGCATTCCGGCCCTGAAGCAGAGCAGGGCAGGGCAGGCGGCTCAGGACCAGCCGGGCTCATTCTTCCCTTCCTGCTGGAACTATCGATGATAGGGGAGAGGGGCCAGGGCTTCTGGGCTGGAACTCATCCTAAGTCTCAGAATTCCAATGCTGTTATGGACCTTGGAGACCTTATCAACCAGCCCTCCCATTTCACAGATGAAAAGACTAAAGAATAAAAGAGACTTTCCTGGGACTTCCCTGGCAGTCTAGTGGTTAAGAGTCAGCACTCCCAATGCAAAGGGACATGGGTTCAATTCCTAGTCAGGGAACTAAGGTCCGATATGCTACACAGTGTGACCAAAAAAAGAGAGAGACTCTCCTAAGGACTACAATAAATTAAATGACAGAGCTAGAACTAGAACTCAGGATCTCAAGATCTCCTTCCATCTAGACTCCAAAACTTCTCTTGGAATGAAGACTCTAGTTCCCTTTATTTGGGAGCTGGGTTGGGGCCTCTCATTCCTGCCTTCCCCAGAGTTAACAGATCAGGTCTCCCATGGCCTGGCTCCTGCCAGAGGCTGAGTCTGGAGGAGGTGGGGCAGCCTGTAACACAGAAAGCACCGGACTTTGCCTAGAGCCAGCCTCCCGCTTCTGGTGCCTATATCCTGCTGTGTGATCTTGAGTACATCACTGAATCTTTCTGGGCCTCAGTTGCCCACCTGAAAACATAAATGAGGACAGCGAGGGGATGAGTTGGGCAGTGCTGGGCTCATTTATCTCTAAGGAACTCCATGGTTTGAAAACCAAGGAAGCAGAACATGCGGAGGGGCTGGAAGGTCGAGGCCCTCAAAACACAGGTAGGGCAGGGCTTGCCTCAATGTGGATCCACTTGAACCGGGTCAGCTCAACCTTCTCAAAGTCTTTAGCAGACACATCTGGCAGGTTCCTGAGTCACAGGACAGAGAAGGTGCAAGGTGAGGTCAGCCAGAGCTAGGATCTCTAACTCGTTGCTAGGGCCCCTATGCCTGGCACTGCCTGCAGCATGGCAGGAAGCTGGATCTATAGCACATGCTTCTGAGGCTCAGCCCTGGAACAGACCCTGTTCCAGGCTAAACTTGATACCACTCCTTACCCCACTGAGCTCCATCCAGACAGGGGACTAGAGGCAGTTTCCTAGAGTGCCCCTTCCTGTGTTTGAGGCTGTGATACTATCTAAAGGCAAATTCATCCTCCGCATTTGTCCAGTAAGGGGCCAATCTACATGCTTTGGAGACCACATCTCCCAAAATGCTCTAACAGTACCAGGGACTACAATTCCCAGAATTCCTCTTGCCAGCAGCCCACACAGCTCCCAGCATGCAGTGTCCCGGGAAACTACAAAGGGGACTGCCATTCTTCCCAGAGCTCAGATCTAGTCCTACTCACTTCTGGCTGCCCCAGCAGTGTCAGCACTACTGTCCTGAGTTTGGCAGCTCCATGTTATGATCCTGAGATCAAGGTTGGTGCTTGAGGATGAATTTATTTTTGGCTGACTTAGGTGTGGAAACCTGGGAAGGGTCTGCATTGATCTTCCTTAGCCAGATACCTACACACAGCCAGTGTCCTCCCATCCCTGTTCTGCACTGAATCCTCCCTCGATTTAACTAGCTGCCTAACTGTGTCCCTTCCGAGGTGCTTCCCCATTGATAAACGGGGCTGACCCCTAGCCTAACAGGCCTGCTGCAGCTGGAGATAACATGTGTGGATATGACTGGACCGAGGCCAGTAGGCAACAGACAGTTCTCCTCGGAGCTTCTCTCCCTCCCTTCCTGTGAATACCCATATTGTGTCCCTGATCAAAGTTGCTATAGAGTGTTGCTTAATGGGCAGATGGCCAAGCATTGCCCAATGGGAAGACTGCCTCTAGCGTGTATGCCTACCCACTTATTCGTTGGGACACAAACAGCCCAGGGCCACTGGTTACAAATCTTGTCCTAGAATGACTGCCCCTCCCCCAGACCCAGTGGTTATGCTCGGTGGTAGGGTCAGCTGGAACCCCAGGGCAGTTGGGCTTGGGCCATCTCAGCCCTAAAAGAGTACCTGGCACACACACACTAGGTTCTCAGGAAACTAAACCTCTGAGATTTCTCAGGAGGGAATCTGGGAGAGATGTCTCTCCCTGGCAGCCTGGGACCCTAAAATGAACCCCCCTACCAGGTTAGCAAATCATCAGATGGCCCTTATCTGCTGACCCAATGTCCCTCTTCCCTCTTTCAGCAATAGCTGTGCATGGTATGTGGCATTTGGTCTAGCCTCATTATGCTGGACCCTTGGGAGTGGCTCATCTTTTTTGAATACCCAAACCCTAGCTCCTGGTGCCATGCTGCAGGCTGGCAACCCTAGAAACTCCAGTGTGCCCCCTTCAGGGATCAAGGTGGTTTGAATCACATCTCCCATCCCTCTGCCCTCAGAACAACTTACCCACCCCCACACCCAGGCTTCTGATTGGCTAATTATGGAGGAATCACATCACAAATTATATTTTGTATAGATCTGCCTGCCCCTTCTTGGTGTTGACCAAGGCTAAGTCTCCAGGCAGAGCAAAGCTCACCCCTTCCCACCTCACTTGTCCCCTAATTGAAAACAATTCCAAAATCACTGAACAGTATGGCATAGGGACAATTTCTGGTACAAAGAGGGAGGCCACAAAGGGCAGGCAACTGGGATGCCTGTGTGGCAAGTGAGGAGGCTGATTGGTGGGCTTTGGCGGGCCAGGCCAGGGGGCCTTACGTGTCGTAGAGTACAATGGTACGGGAGCCATTGGAGTTGTTGACGATGCAACAAGAGCACGGGGTCTCCCCTCTGCTCTGCCAGGCCACCTGAGACACATCCACGCCCCGCTGCCTGAAGTCAGCCACCAGGAAGCTTGGTGGGGGAGCCCGAGCCAAGGGAAGGACAAGGAGACACAGATTAGAGACTCCAAGTGGCCCGGGCCTTCCAGACCTTCCAGTGGGGAGCGGTGCTTCCAGTGGGGAGCACACAGGCATCGGAGAGGAGGGTCCTGCTCTGGGGGCTGAGTGATGGTGGCAGCAGCAGCTGGCAGGGTGCAGACAGGTGTACAAACCTGTAGGCATGTAGGATGGTGCGGCTACCGCTGGCCTCGCTGATGATGACTGTAGAGATGGGGACGGAGCCCGTGGTCTGAAAGACCATGTAGCAGAGGTCCACAGAATAGCGGCGAAGGTCATCCAGGACAAAACTGCCAGGGCGGAGTAATCCGGGGAGGCGCAGTTCGGCGGGGGTTTGGGGATTAGAGGGTAGGTGGTGGGGCCACTGGGGACCCTGGGGTGCAAGCAGAGAGGCTAGGAAGGGACTGGGGTTTGTCACAGGCTTGGGGGGGGGGGGAGGCAGGAGAGGTGGGAGAGCATGGCCAGAGCTCAGGGTGGAAAATCCTCATGTACATTCTTTTAGGTCCTGACTGACCCTGGCCTTCAGTCTGATTCAAGCAGGAAAGATTTCACTAGATGGGGTGGATTTAGGGACTGAGGCTATGAACCCTGTTTGAACCAGGCAGGTGAGGGCACTGTGGCCTGCACCGTTCAAGGCAAGGCAGTATTAATAATTACAATGTGATACTTTGTTCCCCGGAATTCCAGTTGAGCTATTTCAAATCCTAAAAGATGATGCTGTGAAAGTGCTGCACTAAATATGCCAGGAAATCTGGATAACTCAGCAGTGGCCACAGGACTGGAAAAGGTCAGTTTTCATTCCAATCCCAAAGAAAGGCAATGCCAAAGAATGCTCAAACTACCGCACAATTGCACTCATCTCACACGCTAGCAAAGTAATGCTCAAAATTCTCCAGGCCAGGCTTCAACATTATGTGAACCATGAACTTCTAGATGTTTAAGCTGAATTTAGAAAAGTCAGAGGAACCAGAGGTCAAATTGCCAACATCCATTGGATCATCGAAAAAGCAAGAGAGTTCCAGAAAAACATCTATTTCTGCTTTATTGACTACACCAAAGCCTTTGACTGTGTGGATCACAACAAACTGGAAAATTCTGAAAGAGATGGGAATACCAGACCACCTGANTTGAACTGTGGTGTTGGAGAAGACTCTTGAGAGTCCCTTGGACTGCAAGGAGATCCAACCAGTCCATCCTAAAGGAAATCAGTCCTGAATATTCACTGGAAGGACTGATGCTGAAGCTAAAACTCCAATATTTCTGCCATGTGATGTGAAGAACCAACTCATTTGAAAAGACCTTGATGCTGGGAAAGATTGAAGGTGGGAGGAGAAGGGGATGACAGAGGATGAGATGGTTGGATGGCATCACCAACACAATGGACATGAATTTCAGTAGGCTCCGGGGGTTGGTGATGGACAGGGAGGCCTGGCATGCTTCAGTCCATGGGTCGCAAAGAGTCAGACACGACTGAGCAACTGAACTGAACTTTGTCTCCCGGTTCCCTCTGCTTGCCCATCCCCCTGTACTCCTCTTTTGGAAGTTCTTCCCATCCTCATGTGATTGCTCTCATTCCACACCTGCCTTCATGATGCACAGCCAAGAGGTGGTGCTGCCTTGGTGGGGGCTGGGGGGCCCGCTCACCGCCCTCGCCTTCCACAGCATGGTGAGCCCTCCCAGTGCCTGAGGCCCCTCAGTATGGGTCCAGAACTCCTGCTCAGAATCCCCTCTGATCAGAATGAGTTGTGGGGGCTGTCCCTAGGGAAGACTGCACCAGCAGAACAAGGAGACCACCCCGCCCCTCCCAGCTCTTTGGAAATGCAGAGTCCTGTCACCAGGAGCTGGCAACTACACCCAGTAGTGTAGCCACCATCCTGGCCTTTCTCCCTATGACTGGACCCCACTTTCAGCAACAGCAAAGCTGGACAATACAGATTGGTATAAAGGTACCACATCAGGGCATCATTCTTTGTCTTACACCTTAAGGATTCTTTAAACAGTAGCTTTCCCAGGTGGCTTAGATGGTAAAGAATCTGCCTGCAATGCAGGAGACCCGGGTTCGATCCCTGGGTGGGGAAGATCCCCTGAGAAGGGCATGGCAACTTACTCCAGTATTCTTGCCTGGAGAATTCCATGGACAGAGGAGCCTGGGCGACTACCATCTGCGGGGTTGCAGAGTTGAACATGACTGAGTGACTAACACTTTTCCACTGCATGGATGGAAAATATGATTTGGTTTGCCAAATAACTTTTTGTCCCCACAGTGCCAGGTACATGGTAGGTGCTCACGCAGTGTTTGTTGAGCATGTGGGGAGAATTCGGAATGGCACACTTATCAGCATGACTGCTACTCAAAGTCGGGCCCACCACCCAGAGCAAGAGGCCCGGTCTCGCTCTAGCTGGGAGGAAAGGCAGCTGCTGAAGAGGGTTAGCAAGTGAGTGAGCCGCTGTTGGCTTTGGGTCCCTCTGTCCCACCCCAGAGGGCAGGCTCTAGCCCCATTATTTGCTCCATGCCAGTACCTAGGGAAGGGAACCTGGCTGCAACTTGGGGCTGGGCTCTAACAGCGTTCAAAGGGCTGTGCTTTTCAGGCCAACAAACTGGCAGCCTGCCCCTGTGCCCACAGTGGGCAAAGTGTGTGCCTCACCTCCTGATAAGTGCTTGCTGAGTCGGTAGTGCCAGGGGTCAAAGGGCTCTTGGGTAGCAGCCAACACAGAGCAAGTGCATGGGCCACTATGGGTGGCAGCCTTCTGGCCGATGGAAGCATGGGTCTGGGCCCAGTTTTAGCACATGGCATCAGGGTGTCCTTGGGCAGGGAGCTCTCGCTGCTTCAGTGAACAACAGGGACACAAACACTGGCCCTGCCCCCTCAGTTAAGAAACTGTGGCCCTGGACCCTGGGACCACGGATGCAGGACATCCTGGAGGGAGGGTGGGTACAGCATGTCCCTAACTGCCTTCTGCCACAAGCACAGGCAGGACAAGGGACATGAGAAGGGCAAAGTCACATCCACCACGGAGAGTCTGTTGGAAGCAAGGAAGGAGAAGGTGGGAAGCTGAAGCAGGCTCCAGGGAGTGGCCAAGGAAACAGGCTGTGAAAATGAAACCTTAACAAGAGCAACATTAATGACTGAGCAGCAGATAAGCCACACCAGGGAGAGTCTGGGATGCTGGTCCTCCACTTCCCGACTGCCCCCCTCCCCGCACCACCACCCATTTCTGGAGGTCACAAACCATTTCTCAGAGACTGTCCACCCAGGGCCAAGGCTTCCTTCTCCCCCCACCCTGAGGGTCACCCTTCCCTGCTCCCACCACTTACTCAGCAACGTGGCCTGGGGCCAGCGAGCCCATGAAGGCGCAGGGGGCTCCAAGCAGAGAGAGGATGGTGCAGGAGTTGGATGCATTGCCTCCACGCTGCCATCTCTGGGACAAGCACCTGCAAAACACAAGGAGGGTCCCTGCAACTCCAGCAGACTGAGCCCTGGGTGGGGCCCCCAGAATGAAAAAGCCAGGAGGTCCCCCTCAGAGAGCATCCAGGCCAGCCTTAGGCTCAGCGAAGGGAAGAGGCTCGGGTGAGGACCAGATCTGTTCCCCAGCCCAGGCTAAATTCAAGCTCACAGTGATTAATATCTGTCTCCCACTATTCTTATGACATCAGGAAAGCACTCCCTCGGTATCATCACAGTTTGAGGGTTCCACTGACTCTAGGTTACCTCCTCCTCTGTAACAGTGACCCAGTTCCCCACCTTCCCCCTCCTCCCATCAAGCCTTCTCCTTGACAGATGCCTCTTCCCAAAGGTGGCAAATCTACTGCTGCTCCTGTCTTAGGAGAGCCCATTTCAGTAATAACTTAGACTAAAATGATTAAGACAAGAAGCAAACCTGGACACTGTGATTATTTAAGAAGGTGGGGAGGAGGGGGGGTTGCATGGTAACTTTTTCTTGTCAAAAGTTGAAAAAGATTGTTGAATGAAGACAAGTGTTTCTCCATCTTTGTTTTTCTTTTTTTCAGCTTTATTGAGATGTAATTGACATATAACATTCTGTAAGTTTAAGGTGAAGAGAGGGATGATTTGATATACGTGTATACTATGAAATGATCACTACAATAAGGTTAGTTAACACATCCATTCCAGCACATAGTTGCCTTTTATTTTCCTTTGTTTTTCTCCATCTTTACTGAAAATCTAACAAAAGGAAACTAAGTCAGGATACACCTGATGGGCTGTCATCATCAACAACAAAAATGATAACTCACGCATATACAGTCAAAGCACTGGAATGATTTTTCATTTGTGTTCCAATAATACTATGAGGTAAACAGTGCAGGCTGTTATTTCTATTCTTCCAGTTTCAAAAGGATAACAATAATAACTGCAGTAGCTTACCATAAGGGGAACAAGCACCAAAGAACCACTAATTAAGAGAAATAAATGAAGTAGAATTTTTAGACTAAGGTCTATTTGTACACAAAACTTAACATAAGTTCCCTTTAGCCTTTGGAAAAGGGGGCCATGATCCCATGAGAAAGAAGGATACTAATCTGTAAAGGAGCCAACATTTCTTAAGCTATGAGCTTTAGAGAAATTTTCCTGCTGTGAAGAGAGGAGAAGCCTGGAGGGACTGGACTTGCTCAGAGTCACACCAACAGTTAAGCACAATGCTGATACCAGAACTCAGGTTTCCTGACCCCAAACCACTTCAAATGCTTTGTATTTTTAACTGGGCCCCAGCCTGAGGAGGTTTCAGAGAAAGGGGCTATAGCTTTACTCTGTGGAAACCCTTCAAAGTCACACGGACGCCCAGCTTTCTGTGCAGAAACGCTCTGCTGAGCATGAAGATGAAGTCTGGAAGGCCCTTTAGGCTTGGACTCTGAGAGGCCATGCCATTTCTCAGGGGTCTGGCCGAGTTCCAGGTGGCACCTCCTGAGAGTTCTCCGCTGCCCAGGGAGAGAGCCTGGGACAGGAGGGGCTGAGACGCTAGGAAGGCCTGGGTCCCCACTCAGGTCTGCCCATCTGGGAAGCACAATAGAGTCCAGGAGCTGGGCTGGATGGGATGGGTGCATGGGAGAGAGGCCCTGAAGACAAGCAAACTGCTCCACAGAGGAGCAGAACCATGGGTCTGGGGGATGGGGAGGCACCCCATGAAGGGCAGGGGGCGTGGAGGACATGGGAAGGGTCTCTTCAGAGAGGCACCTCGCTTAGTGCCCACCTTCAGAACTGGCCCCCATCAGGGGGACTAGCAGGCTCTGGTCCCAGCCTCCTGACAAGCAAGCTTAAAGGGACTGGGACTCAGCTCTAGTGGAGCAGGCACCCTGGGTTCCCCCGAGGTCCCCCACAGTTGGTAGAGAACCTGTAGCCCTAGAATTCACCGTTCTCCTGAGAGTAAGCCTATCCCTCACTGTGCACCAAGTCCTGGGGCCGGCTTGACCTTGGTAGGTGGGTGAGGTCCATACAGCAGCACACCCTTGTGCCCAGGCCCCACTGTCCCTTCACCCTTTGCCAGGGGCTCTAACGTCTGGCAAACAAAGCAGCCCAAAGCAAAGGGTCACCTCCATGAGATGGGCAGCAGCAAAGCAACAGGGAGCACCTGAGAGGGCAGAGGGCTGGAGACCTAGAATTAGGACACGTGAGTTTTATGACTGCTCTGCCACTCCTTAACTATGTGGCCTCTTACAAAAACTGTCTCATTTCTCCAAATCCTTAGCTTCCTCATCTATAAAGAGAGAATGGGACTGATCCTTACATGCTTCCCGTGGGCTGCTGTGAGGAAAGCATGTAATGACGCCTGTGATAGTGCTTTATGGACCCAAGGCCTGAAGAGCTCCCGGTGCTCTCCCCTCAGTGAGCCTCACGGTTACTGGCACTGTAGTGTCTTCCCGAGCTCAATCTTGAACTCACCTTTTGTCCAGTTCTTGGCTGAGAAACTGAGAGCCAAGAAGCAATTCTTCTCTGTATTCTCAGCACTAGACTACCCCAAGAGAAAATCCCAGATTCCACTGCATTGGAGTGTCTTGAGATGACAGTGTAATGGCGTGGTTCTTATCAAGAGTAAATATAGGAACCAACAAATGACTCTTCAACTTTCACCAGACAACCAAGAAGGGTGTTTTCCACTATGTTGTTCACCAAGTACTGTAAAAAGGACTTCTGGTAAACTCCTTTTGGAATTCAGCACAAGGAAAAAGTCTGTACGGCTCATGAACCAGCTAGACCATAATTCATAGCATCTCCAAATTTGCCTGCAGCGCCAGCAAGCCCTGAGCTACAATGAAGCTCAAAGACCATTGTTTTCAATGTTTTTGAACAGTCTAATTGCACATACTTCTTATTGTAAGCTACCTCGAAAACACTGTTTAAAAGAAACAGATGAGATCTATAAGTGGTAAATAACTTAGAAGTAAATGCTGGTGATAGGCACGTGCACAGGTCTCGTTAAAAAGGAAGGCACTGCTTTTGCACCTTCCTAGCTTATGCCCTTCGGTTAAGTCACTGTGTCTCTCAGGGTCTCTACTTGCTTAGTCTACTTGGTAAAATGGGGATAATGGTGTCTGACAGGTCCCAGGATTGGAAATGCGAAGTGGAGAACACAGTGCTATCCAAAGCCTGGAGCTTAATACTAAAGGCCTCAATTCTTTCCCCAGGTCCCCGGCAGAGGGCATGAGGCACCGGCTCCCAGGGCGACTCACAGCCTCGCTGCCGGGCCCCGGCTTCGCATCCCTGCAGTCTTGGCCGCCTGGCACAACGCGGGGCTGCAGCGGCCCCTGGGGTCACCAAGGGGCCCGGGCGCCCCTACCTGCTGTCCGTGTCCTCCTCTGGGTATTTGTCCATCACATTGATGATGTCCAGCACCACTAGCCCCACGCACAGAATCTGTTTTTCTTCCATGAGGCTGCTCCCGGAGCTTTCTGCCCACCTGGCTGACGGGTTCCTCCCTGGTTCTGCCTCCTATCCGGGTGAATGGTGTCCCGGCTCCCAGAGTCTGGCTCCTCCTCCCCGTTCGGAGCTCCTCCTCCAGGGAGCCTCCGGCGGCGGCGAGGGGTGCCGTGGGGTGCAGGGGACGGAGCGAGGCCCTTGCTCCCCACGACCACCCACTCCAGCAGATCTGGGAGCGCAGACCCCGAGGTCTCGGTACCCGGTCTCTCCTTGGCAATCTGCGTGGCCCAGGAGATGGCTACGTCTTTCCACTTCTTGCCCTCAGTTTCCTCACTTGTCAGACGAACTCTGAGCTGATGCAAAGCTCTCTAAAGCGTAACTAGGCAACCTCCTGAACGCCAAGAGAAAGTACAGCAGAAGAGCATCCCATGCCCCGCCCGCTCCCGCACCAGCTGATCTCTCTCCAGACCCCAGGCCCGCGGGGTTGAGTCGGGCCTCGCAGCTGGAGCCTAACCCGCAAGCATCCCCAGCCGCGACTCGCGCTGTCCCGACTGCCCCGCCCCGCCCCCGAGGTCGGGCCAATCCCAGGCCGAGGCCTCGCTTCTGAGCGGAGCAGCCGGGGCACGCAAGGAGGGCCGCGAAGGTCACGTGACGGGAGACCCCGCCCAGCGACGCCGAGGTCTCGGGTCCCGGCGCCCTCTGGCGGACTCGGGCGGAAAGGGCGCGACCAGGTGGAGGGCCTGGCTGGGGCTCTAAGCAGCGGACGCGCTTCGCTCTCGCGCGTCCAGAGCAGGTGCGGGCAGAGCTACTCCGGGCAGAGCTACTCCGGGCGGAGCTGAGGGCGAGAACCTGGTCGGGGGCTCCCTCACCCCGTCCCCTGTGTACTCCTGTCGACCCATGAACACATAGTAGAGCAGACGGCTTGTTTAGTTTTGTGTTTTTTAGAAAAACCAAGTGTCTTTATTCCTGAATAGTTTAGTATGGCGGTGGGGGCCGGAGCCCCCTCGAGAGAGCCCTGGAGCCGAGGGACTCGGCCTGGAGGCCAGTTGGGGGAGCAGAGGGTGCCAGGATGGCCCCTCCGCAGTCTGGGTCCTGCAGGGACGGCGATCAGGCCAACGGTCTGGACGAGGGGACCCCAGAGTCCCCGACCCGCTGCACTCCAATCATAGGGAGGACGCCGCTCGGCTCGGGGCGCCTCTGCTGCGGCTCCCCAGGGGTCGGTGCCGCGTCCCAGGCGAGACCCCGGGGATCCCGCCCCTGGCTGGCTGTTTGGCCGCGTAGACACTTCGGGCGGGTGGGACCCGGTCCCTCCCGCTTCCCCACCCCGCCGTCTACGCCTGTTCGAGCTCCAGGTCTTCGTAGAGCAGGGCTCCGCTGAAAATGGTGAGCGGTTCCTCCGAGTGCGCCAGCTGCCCCATCACAAGGTCGATGCAGACCGTGTCCCCGACCTGCAGCGGCAGGATGAGGCTGAACACGCCTAGGGCGCCCGGGCTAGGCTGGCTCTCGGCCACCGGCTTATTCTCCAGGCCCTCGGGCTCGTAGCCACCGGAGTCTATGCGGGCCACGCCCAGGTTGGAGCGGGACAGCACGGCCTCCACCTTCTCGTGCCGGTGCCCCGTCAGCACTGCGCTCAGCAAGTAGCGCCCGGCTAGTGGCGCCGTGAACACGCCTGGGGACAAGAGTGACAGTGAGGAGGGGGACAGGTGGCAGGGGCCAGGAAGGCGTCTGGGAGCCCTTCCAGAACTGTACTACGGAGGGACCCTCTGGGTCTTTTCTACCTCTCTTCTACCAGGACCTGAGCTCCATAGACGGCAGGGAAATCGGTGTTTTTGTTCATTTCCGCATCCCCAGCACTTGAGGACAGTGCCTGCAATAGCAGGCCCCCAGAAAGAGCTGTGGAAGGATAGGCTCTTCCCTTCCCACCCCTCAATCCAAGTTGTGGTGAGAAGGAATAAATGAAGGCGAGAACAGGGTCTCCCCAAATCAGAGAATGAAAGGATCTAGCTTGTCTGAAAGGGCAAGAATGGGGATATGTCACCGCATAGCCTCCGCAATCCCCCCAGCGCCCAGGTGCCCACTTCCAGGCTCACCAGTCTCTGGATCGTAGTAGCCCCCATCGTTGAGCAGGACTCTGTCGAAGGGCACAGTGCCTGGTTCAGACCGGGGCAGGCTCAGGGCAGCTGAAAAGGCTACCCGCGGCACGGAGGCTGCTGGTGCCCCCTCGGGTCCTGGGGTGGGGGGAGGGTGTCAGAGTGGATGCTCAGTGCAACCCCCTTCTACTCTTCAGTCTCCACCCCCCAGGGCTGCCTGAGGCCCTCCGTCCTCCAAATCCTGGTTCAGGTCCCCTCCCTCCAGCACTGAATGAGGGGAACTTACCCTGTTCACCTTGGGGACCTGTGGGGAGAGAAAAGGGAGCAGTGAGAACTAGGGCAGCTCTCGCTGAGTCACTCAGCAAACACCTGCTTTCCCACTGTGCCAGGTGCTGTGCAGACCCCCAAAGCAGAAATGGGGGAGACAGATGGGATCTATTCTCTAACCTTGTAGGCTCAGCCACAGTATTCAACACAGCAGGGAGGCCACCCACAGTCAACTAGCCAGCACGCTGACTATCCTATCTCCTAGTTACTTTCCTAGTCAATGTCAGCCATGTAGGCGCCCCAGTTCCTTACCCTTTTCCCCCTTCTCTGTCAAGTTCAGAATAGAAAGTCAAGCTCAGGGCTGCCCAGGTGGGTGGCAGCCCTGGCTGCAGCAAAGATCTCAGCCTGCTCACCTGGTGGCCCCATGGGCCCCTTTTGTCCATCCTTGCCTGGAGGTCCTGGAGGCCCAGCAGGGCCAGGGGGTCCCTGCATCCCAGGAGGCCCTGGTGGCCCAGCCTCACCTGCAGGCCCTATGGTGACAAAACTAGGTTGAAGGAGAGCCATAAAAACGAGTTTCCAAAAGACAAGGAAGGTGGTGGATCCAGGGACAGGGTGATGGGGCCCCTTGTTGCCCACACTGGGTACCTAGGCGGCAGAGCAGCACCCCACCTCCACCCAGAGGCCTGACTGAGCCATCAAGGAGGGTGGGGAGCTGGGACCTTGGGTCATCTCTTGTGGACAAGCCAAGCCCAGGGACAGCGGTGGGTATGCGATTCATGCAGAGCAGAGCCAAAAGGAAGTAAACGAGGTTAAGGCTAAGCTGTTGTAGGGTCAGGGGAGGAGAAAGAGAAGACTTGAAAAAGGTCCTGTGCCCCAGCCCCCACCCCAGTGCCTCCTCTTGCCCGCTCACCGGTGAGGTCCTTCAGGCTGAGCTGGTGAAGCTGGTCCTCCAGCAGCAGCAGGGAGCTATTAAGGGTACCCAGCCGCTTGCCCAGGCCAGCCTGCCCCTCCAGCAGCTTCTCCAGCAAGGCTGCCTGTGTCTGGCTGGTGCTGTTGGTTTCCCGTAGCCCAGCCCAGAGCCCAGCCACGTGTCTGGAAAGGCCTTCACGCAGGCCCTGCAGTCCCCCTGCCACTGTGTCCAGCCGCTCACAGACTCCCTCCAGGCGGCCCAGTCGCCCCTCCAGGCTGGGGCACTGGCCGGCCTGTGCCTGTCCCTCCTCCAGGCCTCGGAAGCGCTCCTCACTCTCTGTGGCATGCTCTGTGGCCTCCTGTTGCAGCCTATTGATCTCAGAGATGATGCGGTCCTTGGTGGCTCCCAGGTCAGCCAGATCAGCACCCTGGCCCTCCACAGTGGTCTGCAGCTCATGCAGTGAGTCATTGAGGGAGCTGAAGGTGAGAATGACCTCAGAGAGCTCTCCTTGCAGGGCCTGGAGGGCTGAGCCTGAGCTGCCCCCGAACACACTGAAGCCATCCAGCGGCCCACGGCTGGGTCCCCCGACCCCAGGGCCGGCCCCAGGGCCCCGGGGAGGTAACAGCGGGCAGGAGCAGCGCTCCACGCCATCCCGCAGGCGGCCGAGTTCCTCTTGGACACCTCCGCAGGCGCCACAACCCTCCTCCCCCCGGGCCTGCAGCAGCCCCTCCAGTTGGCCTAGCCGTGCCGCTGTGAGATTCAGCTGCAGTGTGAACTCTGCAGCCGTCTCGCCCAGCGCATCGACACGACCGTGGAGCAGGCCCACCGCCCCTTGCAGTTGCTCCAGAGCAGCCTGCTGGGCCTCCCCAGCTGCTCCCAGCTTGTGCAGGTCTGAGCCCACCAGCCTCAGCTGTCCCTCACTGTCCAGCACCCTGCGCTCCAAGGCACTGAGGATCTCCCTGACGTGGGAGTCCTGCTCCCCGGGGGCCACAGAGCAGAGCTGCCCACATGCCTGCACTGCCCCTGCCACCTGCTCCTCTAGCTGATTCAGCCGCCCACCCAGCTCCCCGCTCACATTGGCCAGCCGCCCCTCCAGCTTCTCTAGTTTGCCCCGGGCAGCAGGCAGCCAGTGGCCCAGCCCCCCAGGACGCCCCGGCCAGCCCTCCTCCTGTTCCTCCGAGGGGCCCAAGGTAGAGTTGAATCGGTCCTCCAGGCGGGAGAGGCGGGATGCTAAGCTGGTGTAGCCTGGTGGGTGGCCGCCCTGCCCAGATGCTCCTCCCAGGTGGGTGCCTCGCCGCCCGCTCAGCACTGTCACCGAGCCAGCCACAACATCCAGCCTCCGCTCCAGCTCGGCCAGTCGCCGGCCCAGCTCTGGAGGGCAGCATTCCTGAGGGGCCCAGCGGCCCAGGGCCTGCCCCGTGAGGTGCCGCTGCCGCTCTTCCACGGAGGCCAGTAGCTTCTCCAGTGCGCGCAGCCGCTCCCTGTCTTGCTGCTGCTGCCGTCGAAAGCCATCCAGCCCCGCCAGGCACACGGAGCACGACTCCTGCAGCCGCTGCTCCAGCTCCCGCAGCAGCTCCTCGCTGTGGCCGGGAGGGGCCGGGGTCGGGTCCGGAGCCCTGCCGCTGCCGCCGCCGCTGTGATGGTTATTCAGATGGCCCAGCTCCTGGTCATGGGTGGAGACGCGGTTGTCCAGGAGTTGCAGCTGCTGCTGGATCTCATTGAGGGTTTCATGCACACCCGGGCGGGCCGCTGCATCTGCCGGCTGCTGCCTCCCATTAAAGGCCGTCTCCACAGCCCTCTGGACGTCTTCGGTCAGGCGCCCGCTCAGTCCCTGCAGGACACCCCGAAGGCCCTGCAGCTCCTTTGTCAGGCTCTGCACCTGCTCTTCCAGCTGCTGGACCTTCTCGGACTCCCCAGGACCTGGTAGAAAAGGGGAGGGATAAGGCTAAGGGGCTGGACCGCAGAGTTCAGTGCCTACCTCCTAGGGACCTTCTCTCCCCAGCTCCAGCGAGAGGGCAGAGGTCCCAGCTGATTTGGCCATTCCTTAGCTGGGTGACCTGGGCAAGTAAAGATGGAAAGAAAGAAAAAGCAAAACCCAAAAAAAGAAAAGATGGAAAGAAACTCCATTCACTGAATGCCTCTCAGTCAAATATGCACCATGACTCCTTCCGCTTTATAACAACTGCATTGCACAAATACCATTGTGTGTTTTAGTCACTCAGTCATGTCCAACTCTTTGCGACCCCATGGACTGTAGCTCGCCAGGCTACTCTGTG